TTGCACCAAGTTTGTTGCAGGATCAGGGCCATAATCTGCAGTGTACTTTCAAGCTTAAAAGTGCACAAAGTTGTTAAGCATTATTATTTATTTTTGGCCAGCCAGATCCTCCCTGGTTTAATCTTTTTAAGTCTCCCCAGAAGTTATTGATTTAAACATGCTTTTATTTTCTTTTTGCTGGTTTTTGGAGAATGTATATTGTTCAGCCTGCAGCTCAGAGTTCAAAGTGCTTGTCTGGCCATCCAGATGCCTCTCACTTGGGAGCTCTGTGAAAGAGCATCAAATCTTCCACTGAGATTTTAGCACTTTTTCTTTCTTAACTTAAATCACTTTCTTCACTTAAAATGCTGTCACTACAGTGATGAAAGGCTATTGATGGTAAAATGTTCTTGTCTACAGCCATCCCTGTCTTCATCACAAAAATAATTCTGCAGACATTGACCGAGATGCTCTCAAACCAGCTAATGGATGTAGTGAGTTTGAAAACATCAATTATTATATGACAGATTCTGTGCCTTGCAGATCCTCCACCACACTGCCTGTTTACCCTTAGTAGGACAACACCTAATGAGGAGTATCTCCCAATTAATGGTTTCATAATCTAGCTCTGTCATGGTAAACAAGTAAATCCTGGTTAGAAACCGCATGCAAAATGTAAGCATTAGGGCAATTGCTGCTGTTAGCTATTACTGTCTAATTGGTCATCTACAATGTACAGCACAGTACGAAGTGAACTGCTTGTAATGATCTCTTGGAAAGGAAAACAAACATACTCTGTTTCCAAAAGTGTGACTTCAATGCAGTAAATTTACTGCGCAACCTCGCTCCAAATGTGAGTCAGGCTGTATTTATTTCTTGTCTTGTGCATCTGAGCTAACTACCTTGAAGCAGCGGTATAAAAATCAGTTGCTGTGACTCGCTTCTTGAAAATTTATTTTGCTCTTTCTTAAAATCTTGGCCTGCTTGACCTCAGCAGCCTTGACCAGTTTGAAAATGCAAGTTATAATCTTCTGTAGGGATTTAGCCAGGTGTCTATTACAGCATGTAATCTGTGATACAGCTTCCAATATTCACGCTGCAGAAGGGTTAAGCCCCCCTGTCTTTGTTCCTGAGTAAAAAAGTCCGTGAGGTGTTAGTGTGGACAGGAAGCAGATTGAAAGAAGCAACATCTTCAATCAAGCCCTAAGCCTGTGCAGATGCCACTGAGGAGCTGCCCTGATGAGAGGCAGGCGGCTGCGCCTGAGCAGCACCGCTCGGACCTTAACCCTCGAAACAGCAGCTTCAGCACTGCTGCCGGCTCCTCTGCTGATGTTCAAAGGTCGTGCTACTGCTAGACCTCTGTTTTTAAGCAAAATCCTAACTCTGTGGTTACTGTCCCGTCTGTCACCAAATTGTTCCTGAAGGTGCTCTTGGTAAGATGCGCTACCGCCCAGCAGGAGCAAGGCCAGCCCCAGCACCCTGTCCCAGGCAGGGACACTGCCTAGCGCCCCAGACACCACTATAAAAGTTCGGCTGGCACAAACAGACATCACTGTCTGCTAAAACAAACTGAATTCAGCTAATTGAGGGGAAACCCTACTGGGACCAGTCAGCCTTAGTCAGTAGCTTCTCAGGTAACTCTGCTTTTTCCAGCCAGGGCTGAGCGTGGTCAAACCATGTGACACAAAACGGGTACTTCCTCCTAAAGCTAAAACTTTTAGACTATGTTAGTAGTTTTGCTAATATTTTGCATTCCATGAGTGACCTAAAACAAAATAAATACCAACTTAATTTGCCCGCCTGCAAGGAACTGTTTAATATCGGTCTCCAATTACTGTACAGGAAAATAATGGGTTTCTTTTAGATGGTCATGATGTTGGGAAAGCCTCAGCTACCCTTTACGCTAATTGGCAGTAAAGTGTTTAGAAGTATTTATTAGTGTTTAATTATTTAGAAATCTCCTAATGGCTTAAATGTAGTTTTGAAAAGTTATAAATATTTTCAACGTTGTCCAGCTGAAGAGCTACTGCTTGGAAGGCTTAAATGAAGAGCTATTTATGGCTGCCTGCTGGTCACGAAATTACTTACAGCTGCTAATGCTCTGGTCCTTTAGATATCCCCAACACAGAATGGGCTTAGTTTTCACAAATTGGGGAAAGTTTCTCTTTGTTGTATTCATTTTACTGAGATAGAGGTTTTAAAGAGGATTATCACAGAGATCAAAACATTAAAATATGTAACTAATCCCAGTTAAATTAATTGTTTTCATACTAATATGTACTAAGGGACATTCATGTAGAGTAAGACCCCTTTACACTGTTTTGGTAATGTAAGTATGACTTAACATGCAAATTACATTTAAGATGAATTAGAAGCAGTTTAAAGCCAAGTTGCTGGTAGAGAAAATGGGAATCTGACTCCAAGCCTCTGAAGCAACAATCACGTTCCAAATTACATCAGTGACTGATGTGTCAGTAGGCACAGGGGAACTTACTTAAACTCATCATTTCTCTCCCCCTCCCTGTGTTAGAATTCATAACATTTATTGTATTGGCTTATATTGACTTAGATTTGTTTCTCCTAATTTCCTCTCTAGAATACTGAACTCCACAGAAGTTATTTTGGTGTTATCAAATCATTTGCCTCTTAAAAGAGAATTATGTGCTATAAAATTAAAAAAGAATAATTCAGGTTTTGGGGGAGGATTTGCCCGAAGCTTTTTATTAGGATTCTCGTTTGCAGTGATGTCCTTAGTCCAAGGTTTCAGTGTCGGGTTGTACCACTGACGTTACCCCTCGTAGGAGTTTCAGGTGCAGGACAGCATTGTGATTCTGACCTATTTCTCACTATACTCTGCCATTAATTGGAATAGCCTCATCTTTCCCAAAAGGCTTTGTACTCACAGAGATGTAGGCTACCATTCAGTAGCAAGCTAAGGCTGGTTTTTAGCATTCACTGCACCATTCTTTTAGGTACCTTATTGCTACCAGCTCTCATGATCTTACTGTGTTCACGCTAACTTATGTTTTGTTAGAGCCCCGTCTCCCAGGGTTCTCTGATTATATTGACACCTCAGCTTTTGCTAAAAAGGAAAAGGAGAAAGAAAAAAGGAGCAAAAGAAATCAGCTCTTATATATAGAAAGAAACAATATATCCCACACAATCTGGGTTACCCACTGGCAGTCATTAAACATGCCCACTCCAGCATCCAGGGACTAGCGGATCAGAGCAGCTTTAGTTTTTAACATGAAGAATCACAACAGACTCGGTGGCTGCTTGTGGAGCAGGAAACCAGAGCTGTCCCTCAGCAGTGCTTAATGCACCTGTCTGGCTACCAAGGAGCATTTTTTTTGCTCGGTTTCAATACCCATGACCTCCCAGTGAAGTTGCTTTTACCAAAGCAATGACAGAAGCATATACATTGTAGGTACGCAGGCAGCTTCGTGGTGACAGGTACAGAAGTGACCAGGTTTTTCTAGTAAACCTCAGAAAGGTGTGATTTATGCAACTCCTGAATATTTTCTGGAAAATGGATATTTACGTGTAGTCAAAGGGTCTGGAACCTTAAAGATTTTATAATATGTATATTTTTCCCTAAGGAAAAGAAAAGGCCTAAGTAAGTTAGCGAATTCTGGCATTTGTGTCTGATACATTAAATGGAGCTTAAATAATAAAAAATTCGGTGTTTTCTCTATTCTGCTTGAAACTTGTTTTTGATTTTCACTGTTTTATTCAAAAGGAAGGCATAGAAATAGCAACCGTGAGCTTGAAATCAGAGCTGTAACGTGGACTTATTATAGACACATTTTGCAGAGTATTTCCAGTTACAGCTGCATGCTTTGAAGCTGTCAGTGTAACAAGCAGTGTGCTGCTTTTCAAATAACTCTTTTTGTTGTCTTGTAGGTTTTTTTCTTAACTTTGAGTCCCAGTGAATTGTTGACAGTTTTAGCATTCAGCTGTATTAATGGGAAAGAGAGAGAGAAAGCAAATAGTAGTTCCCTGCTCAGGTAAGAGGAGGTTGCTGGTGGGGAGGTCAAAGTGAGTGCAGATGTCCTTTTGCTTGTGTTTTGTGGGAGTATGTCAAGGAGCAGAGCAGTGGCCAAGGTGGAAACTCATGTTTGAAACCCATTTCCCACACTGGATGGCATTGAATCGCTTCGTTGCCCTGAGGCTTTGGGATGGAGAGAAGCGTAACTTATAAGAAAAGAAAAGGTAGATTATCATACCAGGGCTTGTTCTGTTTTCAGAGTAGGTGAGAGGAACTCTGATTAATGACAATAACAGCTACACTTATGCGGCTATCAAACAGTACTAGGTATAGACATGTGCATCTTTTTCCCCAGCAGTACTGACCATCAGTGAAAAGAGGCACGGCTTCTTCCACAATCCGTATGTAAGGTGGAGGGAAGGATACAGAGCAGCAGTTGCTCTCTGGAACAAACGCAGAATGAACAAGTAGCAAAATACTAATGTCGTCTTGAAAGCTGAAATTAGATAGACATGATTCCACGCAGCCTATGGGGTCTGATATCTTGGCAACTGCTGCAAGATATCCCTAATCTGCAGACAAAATAGCCTTTGTGACGAAGCACAAGATTGTGGTGTGCAGGTTAATGCATCAAAAAGGCCAGGAAGAGAATAATTCACTTTCACCTTGCTACAGAGGACAAGCAGCAGTAAAAGCTGTGCACTATTGGCAAGCTCTTTTTGTTGCTGTTTTTAACTCAACCCCTGGTTCAGAGCTCCAGCCACCTCGGCAGCATTCCAGCTGGAGCTGCTGACATCTCCCACCTAATCAAGTGCTGGATTATCTTGTCCTGATAAATTGGAGCCGGTGCCTCATGAAAAGTCTTTCCTGAAGTACTTTGCTACCCTGTAATAAGATGGCAGATGTCTGAATCAAGCCCCAGAGCTGGCAGAGCACTGTTTTTCTAATGGCTTTTGGTGGCGAGTGTAAATGTTTTAAGGCAGGCTGGTGCCACGCTGGGAGCACAGTTAAGCATGATAAATTTCACACCTGGATGAAAGGAAACCTGAAGGTGTACTGGGTACTGGTTCATACCACGTACATACGGGCTGCACTGCTGACCTCAAAACACTTACCCTAAAAATTACTTCTTTTGTGAGCAGAGCTCTTGAGGAACATACTTGTTTTAGAAAGAAATTCTCTTCAGCTTCTTCATTTTTCTAGGAAGAGTTGGAGTTACTGAGCTATTAAGAACTTGCTTACTGTTCTCAGTCTTTTGTGACTGGATCGCTGGTCTGAGTCATTCAGGGTAAATAAACTCTTTTCTTTCTCTGAAACTTACTAAGAAAAATGTTCATGTTACAGAAGCAAAGGTGCTGTATGTGTTTGTGTTTGTACATTTGCTTTAACGGGTAAAACAGCCAGCATGAATCTTGTTAAGATGAAAGTATTTCTTGCAAACATTTGTTTTTTCTTTCTTGGTTTCACTTCTGGAGAAAAAGCAGCAGTTCTCATGTGCCAGACAGGAAACATCTTTATGCGTCACCATCACCTATACTGTGCCTCTTGTAACGCTGCTTTGCTCTTTTCCAGGGGAATCCCTACATGTGCAATAATGAATGTGATGCAAGTACCCAAGAACTGGCTCATCCTCCAGAACTGATGTTCGATCTCGAAGGAAGACATCCCTCCACATTTTGGCAGTCCACGACTTGGAAGGATTATCCAAAGCCTCTTCATGTTAATATTACGCTCTCCTGGAACAAAACCATTGAGCTTACAGATAACATAGTTATCACTTTTGAATCTGGCCGTCCAGACCAAATGATCCTGGAGAAATCGCTCGACTATGGACGAACATGGCAGCCCTACCAATACTATGCCACAGACTGCTTAGATGCCTTCCACATGGATCCAAAATCAGTGAGGGATTTATCGCAGCACACAGTCCTAGAAATCATTTGCACAGAGGAATACTCTACTGGGTACATGACAAATAGTAAAATAATCCACTTTGAAATCAAAGATAGATTTGCTTTTTTTGCTGGACCTCGGCTTCATAACATGGCTTCTCTTTATGGACAGCTTGACACAACCAAGAAGTTAAGAGATTTCTTTACCATCACAGATCTGAGGATAAGACTGCTTAGGCCAGCAACTGGAGAAATATATGTAGATGAACAACATCTGGCACGCTACTTTTATGCAATTTCAGACATAAGAGTATACGGAAGGTAAGAGAATGTATACCTTTAGAAACAGGCATGTGCATTTGGTTTTAGAGGTTATTCAAAACTGTTTATTTCCCCAGACTTGATGACATTTTCTGCCGAGATGTGTTCGTTGGAAGTCTGGCTCAGTTGGAGCCTGTTTCTGGTCATACCAGAAGTTTCTGGCACAGTGGCACAAAGTCCTGGTTTGCTGTCACAAGCCTGGGAGCTTGAGTCCTGGGTCTCACAAGCAGGATAGTATGAACAGTTTCTTATGCCGGCTCAGGAATTCACGCTGGCATTAGGACACTTTTTGCTTTTATGTAGTTGGAGCCTGGTCTGGTGGCAGTTAACTAAAAGGAGAGATTCTGTTTTGTCATTTGACTTTTTCAGGCCTTTAATGTAAGGTGTGATTGATACAGCAGCCCTTACACGGACCCTTCCCACTAGGTCTGGCTATGAATGGCCTGTGAATAAGGGAGGCGGCAGAGATTAGAGTCCATTCCTTGTGCTTTAATTAGCTCTGAAATGCAGTGAAGCTGAAGTAAAATGATAAAAACAACAGCGTTTTGGAGAGACTGATTAGAATATAACAAAGATGATTACTCAGCTGGGTTCAAGACAAACAGTCCCTCTAGGGCAAGCAGTGGCTGGTATCAGGTGCTGTAGTCCCCAAAATAATAACTGCAATGACATTCCTGTTGGGAGATTTCCTTCCCAACTCATACTGGCGATTGACTGATGACCTCAAGCGGGTGGGTGATACCCTTTACGTGTGTCTTAGATGCCAATTTGCTCAGAACAAATAAATGGGACTGTCTCTATTAGCAATTCACTCACCTCTCTAATGTACCTTTACTTTCTCCTCTCTTTCTTCTATAAAGAGTTCAAATCTTCCTTTTTAATTATTTTTTATTAAAGGGAAGCTAATTATCAAAATGAACAGAAAAGCTACTGTATCTTGGAAGGCCAGGGCATTTTTTGCAGACACAGGACTGAGTGAAAAAAAAGTAGACACGGTGATTATATAAAACACTGGTGAATATATTTTTATTACTCCTATAGTGAGTTTTCCATTTTCTACCTCTTTTATACAAGCCTTTCATGTTCATAAGTATTTCTAGATTGCAAAAATGGGTACATAAAACCAGAATAAAATCAAATTACTGTAATGTAATCTATTGAAAAATATTCCTCTAACTTTATATGAAGGAAGAATTGATGCCACATACAGATTTCAATGCATAAGCACTTTTGCAGTGCCGATATGTTTTATACAACATCAAAATACATTTCTTAGGACCATATATTTAGCACGTAGTTACAGTCTTCTGTGTCCACACCAAATACGTACGCATACATACAGAATCACTAATTGAACGTGTGAAAGTATAAATGTTGCTGTTTTAAGAATCCTTACAGTAACTCTCATTAGTTACGTTGTAAATTATTTTTCAGCCGTCCCTTGGGAGGGCTAAGTGGCTCATGGGCAGCTTAAGATACTGTTGGAAGTAGTTCAGTAAAATCAGCCTCAGTATACAAAAAGAGAACACGTATGTTCTGTTTGGTATGTATCCTTTCTCTGTTGGGCTCCACATAGGTTAGCTCTACAGAGGCATCATATCAAAGCTTAGGATCTGAAGGTCCTTACGCTTTAAGGAAAAGCGGCTCCCCGTCTGAAAACCCATTTGGAGTTTAGTCTGACTTCAATTAGCCTATCAGTACTTTATCAAAGAAAGCATCTGAAGGATTAAAAAGCAGTGCATTGCATGCAAATTAGAAAGAGAAACCTTCCGAGCACATCTGGGGCACGGCAATCTTGTGAAAAATTATCTATAGAAATGAAGCGTGACTGTATGGGGAACTTATCTGATGCTGATGCTTGTTGTCTAAATGCTGCAGTAATTGGACACATGCTTTAAAAGAAATATCTGATGTGTAATAGTATCTCACTAGATTAGATTCATGTGAATTCTTATCACTCTTCTGCTAATGAGAAGAACAGCTCTTTAGGGATTTGGCAGCCTTTGCTTCAATACACAGTTTGCCCTCCTTGTTAAAGACTTTATGGGCTTGCATGCTGCCCGGTAGCTGCGGGGCTGCATGCAGTACACAGCCCCTGACTATTTAGTCACACCAAATGTAACTTGCAATAGGCCCGCTGTCACACAGTTTTAGGTATTTTTGGTCCCCTAAAAACTTTATAAGCTGCCG